AGAAAGAGAGAGAGAGAGAGAGAGAGAGAGAGAGAAAGAGAGAGAGAGAGAGAGAGGGGGGGGGGGGGGGGGGAGACAGAGCGAAAGGAGAAAAGCGACGCAATGATGAAACAGCGCTTCAAGCTTTCATTAAAAAAAAACGGTAGATATGAAAGCGGCCGACGTTGTCCCGACCGGTTTTGACCTCATCGTCAGGGGATGATGAAGCGCATTGTCCCTCATCGCCTAATGCTACTTTAAATAATGTTTGAGCCCTACCTTATTTTCCTTTCTTTCACCTGTCGAACAATCCCGCTCTTCGTAAATCTCTGCATGAGGGCTTCCAACTGTGATCGGGGGGTCATACTGGAGGTCAGGGAGGAAGGAAGGTGGGAAAGGTGATGGCGGGAAGGACAGCGGAGGTCGCGTCGTAATTTTTTTGAAAAAGGAAATCGTATTAGAGATCAGGGAGGGAGGGGGGAAAGTTGATGGCGGGAGCAGCAGTAGAAGTTGAATCTTGGACAAAAAGCCGCGTGGAAGACACCCTTCCTGATATTGGGCGGGAGGAGTTGCAGGGGTATACCAAGGATTCGCAGAAACGGGGGGAAGGATGGATGAGGACGAAAATGTGGGCCGGGGGGGGCGCTGAGAAACATATGCTGTGGAGAATGGTGGCAGGGGTGATGACGTAGAGAGAGAGAGAGAGAGAGAGAGAGAGAGAGAGAGAGAGAGAGAGAGAGAGAGAGAGAGAGAGGTAGGTAGGTCATAAGAGATATGAGCCCAGGGGATAGCTGGGAGATATCCTGCGCGGGGGAGATCGTTGAGTCTGTGTCTGGGACGAACAAGACTAAGTGGTGAAATGGCTTGGGAGACTGAAGCGCGAAGAAAGTTGAGGCATGGGAAACGTGTTCAGGGGTTTTGTCAAGGTGCAGCGAATCAGAAAAGAAAAGAAAAGAAAAGAAAAGGAAAGAAAAAGAAAAAGAAAAAGAAAAAGAAAAAGAAAAAGAAAAAGAAAAAGAAAAAGAAAAAAAGAAAAAAAGAAAACGAAAACGAAAACGAAAAAGAAGAGAAAAGAAGGGGAAGGAGAAAACGAAAAAGAAAAGAAAAAGGGGGGTGTGTGCGGGGGATTATTCTTAGGCTCGTTTTTTGCAGGCTCTACCGCCCCTGGCACAAGTATCGTGGTCCCTGCCTCTTTCGTCCCTACGCAGCCTATTACCAATACCTAGTCCCAGTTCCACAATGTCTTCCCATCCCTCGAACCCGTCCCTACTTGCCGCTGAAACTTCTCGTACCGCTCTAAAAAACCAATGCCTGGGAAACCCCTTGAGTCTTAATTCCCGTCTCAGAGACAGCAGTGTCAAGCCCACTCCCCTATTGTCTGAGGAGTGGTCTACAATCCTGTGCAGATGACACTTGAGAGTTGCTTTCTTGAACTGCACAGGTCCAAATGACCAGAAATCCTTAGTAGACTGAATGCGGATAGGTTTCTCGCCCCACACTGACTCCTTATTTTTTGTCTTGGCCACGCACTCTACACCAGGAGGCGTCACAGAGCATGTGATGGAGCATCCGAGGAAATCCCATACGAAGTTCTAAAAATCTCGATAATTCCTGTTGCCTTGTCGAACATTTCCTTGCTTTGACTAGGTAGCAATAAGAAAATGCTTATGTCATCAACCAGTATAATTCCTGCAAAAAGTCTGCGGTCTGAACCGAGGGACTTCAAAAACATACATTCGTTATATGAGCAGAGAAGGCAAGCCAGCGCGGGGCTGGAGCACTTGCCCATGGGGATCCCAACTGTTTGTCGTATGATTTTCCCTGCCACAGTAACGTAAGTATTTTCCAGATCAAATTGTACAAAGACGATAATCAGAGAGAACTTAATGGACATCCAGCCCCTTTTCCCAAAGCTTGTAGAAAAACAAGCTCCTTTTCTGACTCTATTGACATGTACACTTCTTCGCCCTTGGCCAACGTATTCGTCGCAGATCCATTCCACAGCCTTCAGAATTGCTTGGTGAGGCAGCCGTGTGAACATTTCTTTTACGTCAAAGCAAGCACCAGTCAGGCAGTCGTTCTATAGTCTAGAAGCCCGTTTGTTAATGGCTTGGATTTTCCCTTTGAGCAGAGAAGTGGATTTCAGGTTAAAATTAGATGAGGCTGGCAGATTTCAGAGAAGAAAGTTGACAACTTTTGAGATGACCTTGCAGGCTCGAATACTAGGTTCTGCGAAAGACGGCGAGATCGTTTGCCAGTGCTTGGTAGTAAATGTTCTTGCAACAAACCAATGAATCACCATAGTTATGATCTATTGGACAGACCACATATTCCTTGAGCCTCTGTTTCCATTCTGTTAGTAGGATAGCTTTGTTGTCCTCCTCTGCGAACTGTTCCGTCAGGCATTTCTTCAACTCACTGTTTGGGACGTTTGAGGATCGTGGGCAGTGTTCCAGACTGGTCTCAACAATCTTCCTAATATATCGGACAGTTGGTAACCATTCATTTGGCAGTGAGTTCCTAGAGTTAGTCAAAAACTCTGGAATTTCAGAAAACTCAGAGAAGCGGAATTGGACGTGACATTCGCTAGAAGTAGGCAAAGCAGGGTCCCAACTCAAACAGTTGCAATCGTCCACAAGCCCTTTTGCCATTCGCCTGTGGTTGTGAAGATGCTTGCCGATCGTTTTCGGCCCGGTCCAAACAAACCGCGTTCTAAACACAATAAATTCAGCAACACAAGGAGACTCACATCGCCTCCTAATCTCCCTCTTCACCAAGCCCAAAACGTTTCTCTTCTGCACGGTAGTAGAAAAGATGCTTTTAACTATAACTACGGTAAGACATTTATAGCCACATTTTATTTTGATTACCCTTCCCACAATTCCTTTCAAAATAGCCTTGGTTCTATCATTTTCAAAAGACTCAATGCAATTGTATAGTTTAATCAAAGCACCGACCTCGAATTTGTAAAGCAGTCTTCTTGACGCCGGGATTTTCAGAAGGGAAATCAACACAACCCTCATGTGCAGTGTTGCATTGTTCGTTCTGCTAATATGCAAAAAAGTAAACGTCCCTCCGTTCATAAATTCATTCTTGGCATCCTTCAAAAATAATTTCCTGTCGTTTAACTCAACAATCGACCACCCAAACTTCTTTTTTAATCTACCCCAACTGTCGAGGAAAAGACAGCCTCCGTTGGTTCTTACCGTAGCAGAGTACCGTTGTGAATCCACAGCGTCATTTAGTATAAAAAACAGTAAAAAAAATCTCAGACCCTCTTTTTTCGAAAATGGAACTTCCTATTGCTGCCTCCCAAGAGATCAGAAAATGTCCTCCGTGAGTGCCTGCTGCATGCCCAGGTTTACTCCTCAGGTAGGCTCTTCGTTCCCTTTTCCCTTTCCTCCTCCTTTTCCTACGCTTCGTCCTTCTTTGAGTGTTCAAAGTCGGACCCCATCTGGCTATATATGCAGCCTCAACATCCCTAAGCTCCTTCCCATCTACTGAAACCAGCGGGATGGCGACATAATTTTCCCATCCCCTGGATGCGAACCATTTCCTATGCTTGTGGTTCCTTCTATCAGATAGGTGACTAGCTGATAGTACGTGTTCATCCCATCTCTCAGTGACTCCTCGACTTGTTGCACCTATGTACGACGCCTTATGCCACAGAGAGATTAGGACATAAACGCAACAGCCACTGCCCTCACAGATATCGTATCCCTTCTGTACGGAGTCAAGCCATTGATCAAGAAATTTTCCCCCCCATGTGATTGGACCCAGCACGATCAGAAGTAGCACAAACAATCGTAGATACTGTTCAAGAGTTAGTCTTCCCTCACCACATACTTCCTTCTTCCTTCGCACCTCACGTAGTTCGTGCACCTGTTCCCAGAGCCAGCGTGGATCGTGATAGGAATAAAAAAAGATTTTCTTCTTGAGTTTCCTCCATTGTCTCCTCTACCTCCTCCTCTTCTTCCTCCTTGCCATACGCGTCTCCAACCCTTATGGCTGTGAGATCAGCCGCTTGCTTCTTGTTGTGATAGGATATTTTATCCTTCTTGCAGAGCTCTACGAGCTCCTGCTTGTACTTGGACATTAATTCTTTCTCCATGTCCTCACGATATTGTCTTCTCCCCCCAGGCTCGGGGTTGGCGACAACCGCCTTCCTTCCTTCTCTGACACGATCGAATCCAAGTCCGGACGGCGTGCCTAGTTTGACAGCTGATAGACTGCCAGAAACGCGTCTCGCCGTCCCAGCAACAGACGCGAAGACATCAGCCAGACGTCCGGTCCATCTTCCTATTGCGGGAGTCTGAACTGCTGACGGTCCAGCCCTGGCTTGTACCGGAACATTAGGCGCCGGTGCCGCCGTGCTTCGTGTAACAGGCCTGTTGCCCCCGCCAGCGGCTGCTTCCCTTATACTCACGCCACTCATCCTTCTAGCAGCTGGACATGGGGCTGTGGGGGGAGGAGGAGGAGGAGGAGGAGGAGGAGGGGGAGGAGGAGGAGGAGGGGAATGGGGAGGGGATGGTGGGGGTAATTGCCGAGGTGTAACCGGCCTAGGAGGAGGTGGGGGAGGGGGGTGTGCTTGAGGAGGGTGAAGAGGTGCAGAACCAGGATGGTTCGGTTGAGCTGGAGGACGGACTTGGTTCCCGTTGCTGTGAGGATAGGCAACGGGAGGAGAAGGAGGAGGAGGAGGAGTAGATGCAGGTACGAAAGGAGGAATAATCCTCACATCAGGAGGCGGGAAAGCTCTCTGGGCCGGCTGATTCGATTGAGTAGCACGTGTTCTGCCAAAGACCGGCTCAGATGTCGCAACATGGACAGGCGCAGATGGCATTGGAGCTTGACGTGCAGGAGCAGCATTCGTTTGCGCCGTTTCGAACCTTTCTAGCATGCCCATCATCCTTTCAAACATAGTCATTTGCTGCGCCTGCTGTTTCTCCAACATTTTGCTCTTCTCATCCTGCATTTTGCACTGCTCCGCCTGCGCACTTTGTATTGAATCGAGATTCATTAGCAGTAATCCAGCATCGAGCGCCCCTACCTCGTTCACCCGTTGTCGTGGGGTAGGGGGATGGGCAGCCGTAACTCCCGTCATTTCCTCCTGTCCTCTCTTCTTCTTTTCTCCGCTAGCCTTGTCACCCTCCTCCGCTTCTTTGCTTTTTTCCAACTTCTCCCAAATCTTCTTGTTATCCTCCTCCCTTTTCTTGTCCATCTCGCTTTCGCTCATTCATCATCTTTGCCAGCCTTGCCTCTTTCTCCGCTTCCTTCTTAGCCTCTTCCTCCGCCTTCTTTGCTTCCGCTTCCTTCGCCAGCCTTTCCTGTTCTTCCCTTGCCTTACGCTCGTTTTCCAGTCTTCTAGTTTCTCTTAACTCCCTATTGTCATATGCGATCTCGCGCACCAGAGCTAGTAGCTCTCCTTCTCTGGCTCTCGGATTCCAGTTACTCCAGCTAGGTGCATTCTGATAGGTTGCAGCTTGTCACGGCTGATAGGGGACAAGTGTCGTGGACATGGAAGCATCGTGAGTCAAGTTGTGGGTGGGCGCAACTGATGGTGGAGGGGGACGTGGAGGAGAGGTAGGAAGTGAAGACGGTGGAGCAGGAGCCGCAGAAGTAGGCAGCGGAGGAGCAGATGGCGCGTACATGGGCAGAGGTGGAGCGGAAGGTGCATACTGCGGCGGAGTCGTGGTTGGAGCGACGAGCAACGGCTATCCACGTGAGCTAGATGCTCCGTAAGCTGGCCCCGAGATCGACCTTCCCGTAATCAAGCCCTCGTCCCGTCTGGGGTATGGGCAATTCCTTGCCCAATGCCCCTGTTGTTTGCAATTAAAACACGCCCCGTAGGGAACAAAATTATCCACCATCCTAACTAATCGATCGCACGCCTAAACTGAACGAATGGGTCTCCCAGTTTACCAACAGCAGATCGCCACCTTCGATGTGCTTGCCTAGGAGACGTGAGTCGTAGATCGCCTTAACTCGCCCGGATCGGAGTCGTAGACGTGATTCAGCCTTCGTCGATGTAAACTACTTGTTGTCGGAGAAGTAGACGTGAAGCCTTCGTCGTTGTAGACTGTTTGTTGTCGGAGAAGGTGCACGAGAGCAGATCTTGTGATGATCTTTGAAGAAGCGAATCCACCACACCGCGATCCACACGGTGGTTAACGAGCTATCAGGAGTCGATTAGAACCGCACTTTGCAGCGCAGTGCCGAGAGCAAACCCAGCGATTCGACGTTGCCGACTTGTAAAAAACCCGCTCAGAGATGCAGTTCACTTCCACGTCATAGCCTTAGTACATGCGTCAGACAGCATCACGATAGAGAGAGAGAAAGAGAGAGAGAGAGAGAGAGGGGGGGGGGGGAGACAGAGCGAAAGGAGAAAAGCGACGCGATGATGAAACAGCGCTTCAAGCTTTCATTCAAAAAAAGCGGTAGATATGAAAGCGGCGGACGTTCTCCCGACCGGTTTAGACCTCATCGTCGTACTGAGGTCATCGTCAGCGGATGATGAAGCGCACTGTTCCTCATCTCCTAATGTTACTTTAAATAATGTTTGAGCCCTACCTTATTTTTCTTTCTTTCACCTGTCGAACAATCCCGCTCTTCGTAAATCTCTGCATGAGGGCTTCCAACTGTGATCGGGGGGTCATACTGGAGGTTGAGGAGGAAGGAAGGTGGGAAAGGTGATGACGGGAAGGACAGCGGAGGTCGCGTCGTAATTTTTTTGAAAAAGGAAATCGTATTAGAGATCAGGGAGGGAGGTGGGAAAGTTGATGGCTGGAGCAGCAGCAGAAGTCGCGTCTTGGACAAAAAGCCGCGTGGAAGACACCCTTCCAGATATTGGGCGGGAGGAGTTGCAGGGGTATGCCAAAGATTCGGAGAAACGGGCGGAAGGATGGATGAGGAAGAAAACGTGGGTCAGGGGGGGCGCTGAGAAATAGATGCTGTGGAGAATGGTGGCAGGGGTGCTAACGTCGTTGAGAGAGAGAGAGAGAGAGAGAGAGAGAGAGAGAGAGAGAGAGAGAGAGAGAGAGAGAGAGAGAGAGAGAGAGAGAGAG